GTTACTTTGGTAATGGAGCACTTAGTAGTGTGGGTTGTTTTTTGATAATTTTATTTTTAACGTGCTGTTGTTTCATCTGCTGATGAGGATATCCAGGAAGGGTAGTGTGTTGTTATTTTCTTTTCTTTATTCCTTTAAAGAGGTAGTTGGTTGTTTCATATGCCTCAAGTTCTTTCATTTTTATTATAATGAAGATGGCATCTACATAACCAGATCCGTACTTTTGGTTGTAGGTGTGGGAATGCTATGGTTTCTAGACACTTATTACAGTCTCTGCTATGAGTCCTGAAATGGCGATTTTCTGGGTGTTCTTCTGATTTGCTGGATTATTGGCCATCAAACTACTATAATCAGGAAAATGATATTAAGTGGGTTGTTCCTGGAATTCTGCTAATAATTATTGAACTTTGGAGACATTTAGACAATTTGTTGATTTTTTTAAAAAAAAATCTGTATATTTTGATCCAAGATTAAAAGAAAAATTCAAAAGAAATAAACTCCAAATATTTTACAAATACAAAAAAATACAAAAACCTCCACTGAGTTTAGACTTTAAGATCTTCATGCTTTCGATGTATTCATTTCTAACATTTTTCTTGATGTTTTCAGCTTGAGGGATGCCCAGATATTTGTAGTGATTGACTTTTTATGTTATTTCCATAGCACATCTTGATTCCTTCAGTTTCATCCTCTTCCTCCTCTCCTCCTTCTTCTGTGTGCAGATCAAACTTTAGACTGCCAAAAAGAAGCCAATTTCTTGGCTTTGTTGTTTTTCCACTATTTTTCCCCATTTGATGATGGGCATGGCACACTTATCCAATCTAAACTCCATTGCAATATCTTGGCTATATACTGTATATGGACAGTGTTGAATAGTAATTCTATTTTACATGTAGCTTCAAATCCTATGTCCCTATGCTGTTTGGGTGGTTTCCTTTCTTCTCAAGTAGAAAGCGCTTGTTTTCAACTAGATGCTGTTGGACTGCATCAGCTATCACATTAGTTAGTAATTTGAAAGTTGTTGATAAATAAGCAATTGGCTAGTAGTTGCCTGGTGCTACCCATTTGCTGGCTCATTCATTATCAGGTAGGTTTTGTCAGATGTTAGCCACCTTTCTATTTGATCTCCTTGCAATATGTTGTTAAACTGCTCAGCAATGAGTGAGTGTAGATCAGTCAGATGTTTCAACCAAAAACCATGCAGTTCATCTTCACCTAGTGCTCACCAATTCTTGATCTTCCTTGATTTTCTCCACCATTTCTGCTGTTATTGTTAAGTTCTTTCATTTCAGCTTTTATTTTTATCCACTTTCTTTAAATAAGCTGCATCTTTGTTGTGTTCATCAAGTGTAGGCTGATTCATTACATACTTTGTTGTTATTGTTGTTTGTATCCCACCTTTGAGCCCTGGTGGCACAGTGGTTAGAATGTTGTATTGCAATCTAGCTCTGCCCAGTCTACAGTTCGATCCTGATGGGGCTTGAGATTGACTCCGCTTTCTATCCTTCTAAGGTTGGTAAAATGAGGACCCAAATTGTTGGGGGCAATATGTTGACATTGTAAACTGCTCAGAGAGTGCTGTAAAGCACTATGGAACAGTATATAAATCTAAGGGCTATTGCTATTTTACAAATAACTCAAGGCAGTGAACATATTCACACTTTCCTCCTTTTATTTTCCCAAAAAGCACCCTGTCAGGTGAGCTGTATTGATAGACAGTGGCCCAAAGTCATCTAATTGTTTTTCATGATTAAGATGGGACTTGAATTCATGGACTCCCATTTTCCAGCCTGGTGTCTTAACCACTAGACCAGGGGTAGGCAACCTGGGCTCTTCTATAACTCGTGGACTTCAACTCCCAGAATTCCTGAGCCAGCTGGCTCAGGAATTCTGGGAGTTGAAGTCCACGAGTCATAAAAGAGCCCAGGTTGCCTACCCCTGCACTAGACCAAATTGGCTCTCCATAATGGCTTTGGAGATGGGTCCAGCACTTCAACTGATCCAGAATGTGGTTGCATGATTCTTGCCCAAAATCAAATTTGTAACAGTACTCACTTTGTACAAGTTTCATGTTGGCTGTCACCTTTAAACCCTAAGTGCATCAAAGCTTGGGACTGCCTGTTACCAGAAGAGCCATCATTTAGTCAGCTGACACCTTTGCTCTTAATAATGCTAAGCAGTTCGTTCCAATGCCAATTGAAAATCTGCCTGCTTAAGATTCCCAAAGAAGAAATCTCATTGCAAATAAAATTTGTGAGTATGACCATCATCATGATTAAGAACTATCTAAGAAGACATTTTGGTCCTTGATTTTTTTCAGAAACCAGTTTCTTGGACTATTGTTTCTGTTCTGCCTTTGATTTCCCACTTGCAATTCAATCTCAAGTAGCAAACCACACTATAAGAGATAGGATACAAATACAACAAAAAGTCATTGCTGTTGTTAGGGTTGATGTATGTCTTTACTTAAGGTTGTAACTTTGTGGGGGTTGCCTTTATGTTTCTGGTTTCAATTTTTAAGAGAAGCTTCCCATAGAGCAGAATTACTGCTATAACTAATTATATGCAGCATACACAGATGTAGAATTGCTTTTGCTGCAGTGCTCGGAACTTAGGCTGGTTAGAACATTAGGTTCATACAATACAGTTAGTAAAACAAATCACATTATGGTTTATGGTACTAAGTGTGTGAATCCAGGCTTGCCCTGTGAGAGAATGGGAATGTAATTTCCAACTTGAGATCTTTTTACATACTCATTTTCTAATATCTATTCCTACTTTTTCACTCTAGAAAAAATGTTTTTACATATGTTTTTCTTCCTAACTTTTCTTCCACAAAATCAAGACCCACCTTTTTTTAATATAAACAAAGTTGATCTATTGGTTGTGACAGGAATTAAACAACCAGCTTCTGCCCCAAGTCTAACATTGTGGGCTGACAGAAAATGATTAGCCAAAAGGCACAGCCTGGCTTTCATGTGGTAAGACAGAACTAGAACTCACAGTCTGCTGGTTTCTAGTTTGCATCTTTAACTAGTTTTCTCCTTTCACATATTATTTTTAAGAGACATTATAGATGCTCACAAACCTTAGATTTAGATATATTCACCATGTAGCCATACTTATTGTTTACGTAGCAAACATTGTTCTACTGAATTTCCTACATTTAATTATTTTCACTTTATTTAGCATCCTGTTCCCAAAATCAGAAATCAGCTTTATTTTTTCATGGATTAGTCTTTTTACTAGCATCTCCCTGGCCTAGTTACATTTTAAATATATAAATTAGGGTACATAGTTTAAGTCTTTTGAATTAAAGCAGAAGTAATCATGATTATGAAGCATGCCTTTACTTCATTAAAGTTTGTCAAAAATCTAGATAACAGATCCTGGTCTAAAAATGATCTCAAATGCTCTTCTATGCTGGTCTTCTTCCCTGAGGGTTTCACCGTGAATCTGTGAACCAGTTTACTCTTACAAACATTGGGGCTGGCCAAGGGGGGATTTATTAAATCAGATTATTTTATTCATTTTTTATTTATTCCATTTTTTATAGTTGCCAAACTCAACCAAGTGACTCTGGTTTATTTATTTTAAGGGTGCACTCTTGATTTCAAGAAGGAAGCTGTTGTAGGAAGTAGTACCAAGCATGATGCAAACTCAGACCGTGACCTGGTGTACAAAAAATGGAAAACTATTTTCTTTGAACTGAGTTTGGTAACTTAAGAAGGCAAAAACTGAATTCGGAAATATTATTGATGTTGTAATGCAATCATCAGTGGCCATGGAGCTTTAAGATGCACTTATGATGACATAATACACCACTGCTACACAATTTGAATCAAGTGCATCACGAAAGATTCAGATGGTTCCAGACTGATGGCTCCTAGAACTTCCAATCACTGTCCTGGTAGTCTGTCTTTCCCTTCTTAGTTGATTTCTGCAGTAAGAAAGGGGAAAGAATCAGCAGGAAAACATGGAAGAATAACACATAGACAGTGATGTCAACTGGGCCTCCATGAAAGTATACAAAGGACATGGGACAACTGTCTAATAAGGCTTCATTCTGAAATTCCCTGTATGGTTCTGGATCTCTAGATTTCAGGGGGAGCCACAGTCTGCAAAATGCAAAACCTTTCTTAATACCGTTTTCAGAGACTTGCTATAATCTGTTTTTTTAAAAAATATATCTGTACAGTAAAAGCATCTCTGCACATTTGGGAACCAACTCTGCAATTTCCGCTGGCCTGAGAATGGTTATGCCGACAGTTGGAGACTGAGGGGCATAGACACTCTTGCAAATGTTTGTAGAACCTGTCACTGGCTGTGTGGAAGTTGGCTTGAAAAACGCCTCTCGGTGTAGGAATTGGGTCAGAAAGGTACCCTCGGGACGGGGCAGGAGGCTGGTGCCGCTTGACTGACGGACGGACGGACGGGTGGGGGAACTCGTCCGGCCCTGGGAACGCTGGGCTCGCGGCGGCGGGCGGGGGGAATGTCCCCAACGTGGAGAGAGAGACTCCAGGTCTGTGAATAATCGCGCTCTGACTTGTTGGGGGGAATCAGCAGCGGCTGGTAACCATTCTGCTCGGAAAAGACGGAGGGAGCGAGGTCTGTCGAAAGGAGCATCTTGCTGGCTAAGCGGGTTGCGGGGTTGCAGGGCGAAGAGGGTGGCGAAGGCGCGCGAAGCGGACGAAAAATCCTCAGTCGTCCTGGGTGGTGCGGGCGATGGAGTCCAGTCCGCAATTTCCGTCTCTCCTCAGTAGTCTTCGTCTCTGGCAGCGGCGGAGGGCGGAGAGACAAGCGCACGGAACAGCCAGTTGTTTAAAATCCTTCTAGAACCGTTTCTAATTCCCCCTTGCGCCGGGGAAGGGAGAGCGGGAGGGGGAGGAGGAGCCGGAGGCTGGTGGGGGGAGGCAGCCAGCGGAGAGGAGGAGAGAGAGCAGCCTGTCCTGGTCTCTGCGTGTCAATCACAGGGCGGAGGTGTGTCCGAGCTCGCAGCGGGCCAATGGCGTGTGTGTGTGGCAGCGTCTCCATGGTGACTGGGCTGTTCCTGGGGAGGCTGTGATGGGTTGACAGGTGCGTGACAGTCGGAGCTCTCTGCAGGCATGTACGGCAAAGGCAAGAGCAACAGCAGCGTCCCGTCCGACAGCCAGGCCAGAGAGAAGTGAGTACAGCCCGCTGGACCGCACAGCCTGACTGGGCGGGGAGGTGGGCGCGCGTACGCCCCGCACAAAGTAACTTTACCGCTTATGAGAGAGGGGGCCTCACTCGAGACCGGGGAGCTTCACCCCGGCGCGGGAAAGAAGAGGAGATCGAAGAGGCGGAGGGGGGCAGTCTACAAGTCGGGGTGTAGAGGAGGGTACGCGCGACGCTTCCGAGCCTGGGGAAGAGAAGTGCGCCGGACCCGGTTCGGAGGCGGGGGAGTGGGTCTCGGACGCTCTTTCCCGCGTGGGCTGGGAGCAGGACAAGACGGGACGTGTCTACTGCGCTTTCCTTGTGCTGCAGATGGCGAGGAAAGTCTATAGCTGGGTCTGAGGGGAGAAAGTGATTCCGACAGACAGTGTGGTGCCTGGCTCCGCGCGAGGGCAGGGTCGGATTAGCGCGGAGGCTCAGGGTCCTCTCCCAGTGTTTTGGTTTTGTTTCTCCCTGCCTTCGCCTCCGTGGTTTATGGTGTCACTTTGGGGGAGGGGGAAGAAAATGGTGTTGGAGTAACTTTGGTAACAAAAGAGTCTGCCGTGTGCTCGTGTGAAGCTTCCGCTGGAGGGAAAGAAACAAAACCCTCAACTCCGCGATATTCAACTCTCTTCTCCCGCTCTCCCCACCCCCCACCGAAGATCCAGGGTCTTTTTCACTCCTTACCTTTTTGCACAGATCTGCAGCTCTTCCTTTGGGTCTGTAGGGATAGGTGCTGCATGCATTTCAAAAATACGAAGTAGTTTGTAGTTTCTATCTTTCAAGGGCCTGGTATACAGGAAGGGCTGTTGGTGAAATCGCGATTGTTGAGAGAAAATGTGAAATCGAACTGTAAAGTGAAAGAAGATTTTTTTTTTTTTTAATAAGCAGTTGGGCTGGGCTTGGAGCGGATTTGGAGATAATCCTGGGGTAGTAGACGTGTAGATGACAGTAGTGAATTGGAAGTCCTTTAGAATATTGATAAAGATCCATTCTCCATTTACAGAAAAGTACTTAATTTCAATGCAATAATTATTTCCTCAGTTACCAAAAAACCTGCATCAAAACTTTTTAACTAAGCATGAAATCTTATGGAAAACATGGAAAAAATAGATAATATTTGCTAATAATAATTTGCTATTTGCTATCATTTTTGACTGTTAACAAGAAAAAGTACAGCCAAATGATTGGATTAGAAAGTAGTGATAACACATTACTAGTAAGCAACTATAAAAGACTGTTTTTGAATATTGTTTGTGAATTAAAAAGTCCTGTTAAAGTTTCAGTTTTCACATTGTTGTCAGTTGTAGTTACAATTTTCATTTTCCTCACTGAAAATAGTAGAACACAGAACAGAGTTGATTATGAAAGATTTTTCTTTCTCTTTTTTCTTTTCTTTTTTTTTTTTTTTTTGCTTAGCATATGCCCAGCAGAATCAGAAATTATTTACTGCATATTTTCTTTTCTTCTGAACAGACTTTAGTAAAGTAATGTATTAGATGCAGGGTAAAGTGTTTTGAGTTACGGACATCTCTTCAGAAATGGTTTTGATATCTGTGACTTTTTAAAATGTCATTGTATGTAACTTTGGAACTTTTACACAACATGAAAATGAATGTGCAAAGTAAAATTGAGCAGTTTCTCTTTTAAACTGAATCTTCACCTAAAGATTTTCTCCCTTATAGCATTCTGAAAAGGATAGTTACTTCCTGATTCTAAAAACAAAGAGGTACGCCAAGTGATTTGTTTAATGTTTTATACTGGCACAGAAAGAATACAAAGATAGGGACTGAAAACTAAATTTGAAACAGAAATTAATGGATGTTTAAAATTTGAAACAGTGAATCACATAAAGCTAAATAAGTTTACAATACTGTATAAGTAATAAACTTGTATCTCTTGGGATAAAACTATGTAGCCGTACTCCTGATTGTTATGTGTTTTTGACAATTCATACATTTGTATTAACTCCAATGAAAGCCTGATTGAAAATAAATATAAAATTACCATTTTGGGTAAATCTTTGTATAGAACTTTTATTGTATTGGCATTCTATGTCTGAAATATTGTAGGACATAGTATATTGGATATGTTGAGCTATTATCAAGTAAAGAATACTCTTTGGTGTGAAGTTAAGGGAACTGCTAGATGGTGCTGTTTGATCTAAATACATTCTTCGCCCCATTATTTACAATTTGCTATACTGTCTTGTAGGGCTTTTTCTCCTGAATGTACACAATATTTTAAAATGATAAATCAGAAATACTCTGATATAAGCAACTTAGAATTGGAGGGCATGCTTGAGTCTGTCAAATTGAATAATATAAACAGTAAAGTACATTGTTATTAAATCATTTATATAATGCTATTGTTTTATCACATTTTTTCAATATGTCTGTAGCATAAAGTCTTTCCTACCCCCTCTTAGGGTTAAAGTTCTTTCTTCAGAATTTGTGGAGTTCAGAGGAAGGAAAATAATATAATTCTAATCTTTTTATAAATGCATGACCTGAGTATTTCCAATACTTTAGATATAATTAGGCTTTGAAAAATGTACATTCTGGTTAACATTTTTTTAAAAATGTTTAAAAAAATGTTAGAAAAAATGCTGTGACTTCATATTTCTGGAAAAAATTTTTTATGTAAGTAGGCACAGGCTATGTATAATGGTGGCAACTAGTCTTTTTAAGGATTAACGTCCATTTGTCTACAGAGGTTTAAGCAGATCCATTATTAAAAAGGGTTATTATAAAATTTTAAGCACGTTCATGAGAAATAAATCTCAGTTTTAATATATCTTGTGCATACATAATTATTTTTGGGATTCTAGCACGGCTGTTTAGATGCTAAAGAATTTATGTTAAAAAGTAATAGACATTTCCTTTATCAGTGCGAATACATTTTGGCTAGTCCAGCTTTGGTAAACTAATACATAATAGTAACAATTATATAGACAAGGACAGTTCTACAGTGTGAATCTGTGATCTAAGACTATATGCTCATATTGTAAACCTGTTGATGATGAAGACTTATCTGTTTATGGTTAAGATTGTATGTTTAAAGGCTAAATTAAAGATGCAGTCTTTAACTTATGTCTGATTTCTTGCTAAAATTCATACTAGCATTGTTCTGGCAACGTAATAGATTCAATGAAGTGTGTTGGAGAACACTAAATGGAGGAGTCATCTAACCTCAAGAGAGTAACCCAAAAAGATCCATAGAGTTTAAGTAACTCCTCTCCTCCTGGGAATACCTACAGAAGTTGTAAAATTAAGATAAAATTTTCACAAATGTCTATACTTCATTACAATAGTTGCAATGAACTTGCAACTATTATTTCAGAGAGCAGTCAGAAGAAATTTGATCTGCTGTATTCAAGGTTGGCTAAATGGGGGTCTATTAAATTGAGGGTTTGCTGTAATTTGTGTCTTTAACAAAAACTTAAGATTGCTGCCAAATTTCTATAAAAATGTTTTAAAAGATCTGTTTCATTTTAATAAATACTTAGATTAGGTTTTGTGTAGGAGGCCTGTGGAAAGGACTCTGACTGCTAATCAAATAAACGAAAATCCTGCCACAGGGAACATAGTTTAAGAAATGCAGAAGCATTGTGTCTGTATGCTCTATGCCAGCGTTTCTCAACGTTTCTGTGACGGCGACCCCTGTCACATGGACGCGCCGCGCATGCGCGGCGGCGCCCCCATGCGTGACGCGCATGCGCGGCGGCGCCCCCTGAGGGGGGAAAATGGCGGATCACGTTGTTTGGGGACTCCCGTAAAATGGTCGTTCGACCCCAAATGGGGTCGCGACCCATAGGTTGAGAACCGCTGCTCTATGCTCATGTGAGCTGTTTTTGTCTTTCTATTTCACCATGCTCAGATTAAGTAAATATGACTTCAATTAATCATTGGTCCTTATTCAAAGCCAGACATTTTCAGTACTAGGACTAAAACAAGCAAATTCAGGTTTGTAATTAATGTAAAAATACTTTCTTGTTTAGATTGTCATAACTATAATTCCCTGTTTTATAGAAACAGTAATTAAATCAAGGTTTATGAGGTAATTGTGGTCATTCTAAGGGACAATGACAGAGAAAGCACTTGCTTATTAGATATATTTCTCATCTTTGATTCAGGAGTTCAACATGATATACATAGTGTTCACTGCTCCTGGTTTTTTTCCATAACAACAGCCTTGTGAGCAGAGAGACACTGAGAGATCCAGAGACATCCAGTGGTCTTCTTTGGCTGAGGTTGGTCTAGAATAGGGGTTCCCAACCAGGGGAGCGAGACAACATTCCAGGGGGTGTGAAAACTTGGGTTTTCAAAATTACAGTGTATATGCATAATATGTTGCTGTTATTTCAAATTTTTGTAAGGGGTGCAAGAATATATCAGAAGCATTCTAGAGGTGTGGGGCATAGAAAAGATTGGGAGCTGCTGGTCTAGAACCTAAGTCCCAGTGTTCCTATCTTAAGTACTACATTACATGGCCTTTCTGAAGATAAACATAAACATCTCATGATCAGTTAGAGGTGCATAAAAATGCCACCGAGAATGACTTAACATTCAAGTGTCAGTTTTAACATTTTAGGATTCTGGAAACTTTATTTAGTTTAATTATGGTTCTAGCAGCTTTAATTTTGATTATTCTAAACAAAATATGCCAACTCTGAAAAGAAAAAGTAAATATATATTTAAAATATAAAATTAAGTCAGAAAATGCAAATACTATTTTTCTTTAAATTGTTAAGTGATGTATCATGAAATGAAGACAGTGTCTTGTGGAAGTACACCATTATGGGATTTAACTTTCATTTTCAAAATTCCATTGACTTGGAAATGCCTTTTCTTCCAATATAGAGGAAAACACTTTTCTAGCTGCTTAAAATAAGAAAAAAAAATATTACGGATAAAATGTGGGGGGCAACATATTTATTTGTATCACTAAACATTTATTTTGACATGGTGCAGACTTTAGTCAGAGAATTTA